CCCCAAAACCCCAAAACCCCAAAACCCCAAAACCCCAAAACCCCATGGCTAGTAAACTCTATTGAAATATTGATTATTAATCAATTAATACTGAGAATATTCATTAGATATAATAAAGCTGATTCTTGAAAGCATCTGGAGTTTCAGCAACTGCTGGCTGACGACTACAGATCTTTGAAATCTGATTGCACATAGTATGTGCATACATGATAGGAGCTGGAATCCTAACAGCTCCTTGAAGGTTGTAGAAACCATAGCAGAGGGAATTGGTGAGGTCATATAAATCCTTTGGATCAAGGTCTGTGAAGGTATTCTTGATCACCTCGTATCTTACTGGGCATTGGAGGCCTGTTGGGCCTGCATGAGAGATCATGTAGAATTCAAATCTGTCTGGCCTAGTTATTTCACTCTCAATGACAAGTCCTCTGTCTGGATTTTGCATGAATTTTCTATCTTGAGTGAAAAACCTTTGTTCAATTCTCTTGTTGGCAAGAAGGAATAAGATACTTGGCTCAGTCTCCATTTCACCAACGTCCATCAAATTCTGGATAGCTTGAGCAAGCTGTGGGACTTCAGTTTTCAGTGTAGCTTCAGATTGCCCTTCAGATACTGCATCTCTGTAAATGATGATTCTCTCTGGAGCAACACTGTTGGTTTTAATGAACTCTTGGATAGCTTCCTGGAAAAGCTTCTCTATAGAGAAAGCAATCTCTTGTTTCTCACCTTGTGAAACAGATGCACTGTAGTATGATGCCACATACTTATCCTTTGAGGCTACAAAGCCAAGCACTGACTTCTTGTTTTTACCTACTCTATGGCAGACATCCATACCAATAATCATGGTTGGCCTATCCATCAAAGGAAGGCTCTTGTAGGCCCACGGAGAGTCTCCCAATTTTGCTGAGATCTGGATCATAAGATTCTTCATGATGTTTCTAAGACTCTTAAAGTTTCTCTTAATAGTCTCTGAAAGAATAACCTGAGATGCTACATTTCACTCTGTTTGGAGGTAATACTTGAGGGGTTCATAAATTGGAGAGGCTCCCTTCCTTCCAGGAGCAATACAGATGATAACATCAAGCTGATTCTCTTTCTGAAGGTCATAAATAGTATCAATCCATGTCTGAGGTCTTCTGTCATCACCTCTTAACTGAATTTCGATAGGCTTCGTACATTTGTACTCAAAATCAACAGTAACAGTCTGTTTGAGTTGCTTCATGAAGGTCTGATGTTCTCTAGAGCTGTACTTTCCATAAATAATAGCCCATCCATTGATCTTCTTTGCCTTGAAGGGAACACTGAACTCTCTAGAAAAGTCTCTCTTCATCCTTGATAGATCAAATGATGCCTTCTTCCCTCCATAGATTTTGGCTGGGGTTAACTTATATGCTTGAGTTTTGATTGGGGATTCGTTGATCTCGATTTTCCACTTTTCAGTTAGTTCTTCATAAGCCTTCTTGTCCTTCTTCAGAGTCTGGAAAAAGAACTTTGCTTGCTCATTCTTGGTCTGAGCATTAGCAAACATGTCATTTTTAATGGCTCTGAAGTTCCTTCCCTTCTGTTCTTCAGTGATTCCAGTTAAGACACAGAACTCGGGAATCAGGTAAAGATCTTGATTGGTTCTCATGTTGTGGTGCTTGAGCATTGGCTGGGAATAGTCATTGACCTTGCACTTATAGTTCTCAAAGATGTAGTCACCAAAGCTCATCTCCTTGTTCTTACTGTGCTGGTCACAGAAGAAAGTATTCCTTGGATTTTTGCTGAAGTCTATATCATCAATCTTATAGACTCTGTTGTTGTAGATTGTCATCACAGATCTACCAATAAGTCCATCTCTGACTTGCCTCTCATTGCCCATGTCGTACATCTTGTCTAGTAGAGGCTCTTGTTGAAAGAATTTCACTGAAGGGTTCATGTTCAGATAGATGTTTCCTCCAAAGGTCCTCATGGTGTTGAAGTAAGCTCTGTACATGTTTACTCCTTCAAGCTCCATTGGCTTTCTTGGATCGAAGTGCTTTCCGGCTCTAGTGAGTCTTAGCTTGCACTTCTTCAACATCTGATTGAAGAAGGCTCTGAAGAACCTTGTGACTCTTGGGTTCTCAAAGGTCAAGTCAGCATGAAGATCAATGCTGACCATGTAAGTGACTCCATCTTCTTCGATCTCTTCTTCAGTAATGGTGCTAATCTCATCAACCTTCTCAAAGGAGTAGATAAAGCCTTCCCAGTAGACATGATTCTCGAAGTAACCCTCTAGTTTTGGTCTAAGCTTCTTTACTATCTTAGCCATCTTCAACTTCTCTTCATTAGAGTGGCATGTCAGCTGAGGTGCAGTTTTCACTTGGTATTCAAAGAGGACATTTCTTCCGCCAGTGTTGCATTTGAACTTATAGTGATTGCTATATATCATCACTGGTCTTCCCATCCTCGAAGATTCTGGTTTAAGAGGGAATGGGTGGTCAACTTCCATTGCTGACCCCTTGCTACTGCTTGAGCTCTTATTGTCAAGTAATTCCATGTAATATAGTAATAATTATGATTAAATCAATCTAATCTTTCTTAAAAGGGGTTTTGGGGTTTTGGGGTTTTGGGGTTTTGGGG